ATTTTTGAAAAAGGCTCCAGGGAGCCACAAGGGGGGCGCTAAAGAGACGCATGCGGTTGCTGCCCCCCAGTTAAGGGAATCAATACAATCCCTCATCTAAACCCTCCACTGGGTTCTGGGTGGTTCTCTGAACCTCCAGCCCAGTCTCAGGTTCTCCCACTGCAAAAACCATCTAGAAATAAGTCAACATTTCCTAAATGAAATGTATTTAGCCTTAAATTGAGCAGGTAAAGAAGATGATCTGCCAATGGAATGAGCATTTCTACTATTTAAATAGGACAATAAGAGAGAATGCACTTGAAATAAGACAATGCAATTTTTTTTCTATGTATATTGTGTAGTTCCATTGTTTCAAATACCTCCTCAATTCAAGAAAAAATGACTTATTTAGATTTTAGTCTTTTGCAGGGCCTCCTAGATGGTCCTGATTGAGCTCCATTCAACCTCCATCAGCTCCAAACAGCTTCCCTGTCCTGCAGCATGATGCTGCCAGGTTTTCATCTACGTGTCCAGAAGGATCTCACTGATGATTGCAGAAGCTGTCAGGAAATAATGAACGGCTAACAAATTGGACTGAAAGTTTTTCATTTCTACGTTTCTTTTGGAAACTGGCTTTTAATACTTAGGACACATTGTTTTATGCTTATGATTTTATTACATTTTTTCAAAATGTTTTTATCTTTCTGTGAAGCACTTTGGTCTTCCTGGAGTTGTTGTAAAGTGCTATATGAATAAACTTTGATTGATTGAGAACATAAATGAGCCTCGACTTCCATCCATCATCCATCCTTCATCCATCCATCCATCCATCATCCATCCATCCTTCATCCATCCATCCTTCATCCATCCATCCATCCATCATCCATCCATCCTTCATCCATCCATCCATCCTTCATCCATCCCTCCCTCCCAATGCCTGCCTGCTCTATTCCAGGCCTGAAAGGAACCATAGGTTCTGAACCAATGCGACCTTCTTACCTGGGACATGGAGGACAGAGGGGGATTGTTGTGGTTCTCCCTCCTGGACTCCTCCCAGCCACCAAAGCACCTCCACTGGCTCAGGGGGTCCAACGGCAGCACAGGACAGGTTAAAGGGAGTGTTGGGAAAGGTGGCCACATCCTGGGGCTCCTGGGTGAAGTGAGGGACGCCTGTGGGAGGAGCCGGAGACTGAGCAGGAGACACTGCAGAGACAGATTTACTAGAGCAGAGGCGTCAGGGTCTTACCTTCTACTGTTATCCAGGCTCGCTGAGAGGAGAAGGTCAGGCCGTGGAATTCCACCTCACACCAGTATTGACCAGCATCCTGCTGCTGGACCGACTTCACACTGCCACCAAAACACAGAGGGTCAGAACCAGATCCAACACAGCATCAGGTCCAACATGATGGCTGGAAGATCGGGATCCTGAAACCGGCCAGAGAGGGCGACACCGGGATGTCTTCTGGCATCATGTTCAATCGCCTTCAGTTCTCACCTCTTCTAGAAACTGGAGGCTGATATCAGGCCACAGAATGGGTCTGGTTCAGGAGATCATGATCGGCCTGATGACCACGCTGGGAACGCCGGTTCTGTGGCTAAACCAGGCCCAAATCATCATCCACTGCCGTGTTCAACTTGGAAATGCTAAATGCTGTATCTGAGATTCTCTGCTAAGGTCTCATCTTTCTGAGAGACAAACCGCGGCTCAGATGCTGCAGATTTTCCCATCAGCCCTTTCCAACGCCTCGCACTCGTTCTACTTGTTCGGCCAATAATGTTAATATTCAATACAGTAGCTATAGCGTGAGGCGCTGAGATGATTAGACTTACACTTCAAAAGATTTATTTTGTCATTTTGTATATACGAGTGTAAACAAAAAAAAATTTGTTTAAAACTGCTCTAGACAATTTCATTTTTTTAATGTGCAGCCATGAAAACATTAATAAATACATAATAAAAGTCCAGGTGAGGGTGTCTGTGATGAATTTGGTGCTGCTGACCACCTCTACAGCTGA